TATCTATCTATCTATCTATCTATCTATCTATCTATCTAAGCTACGCTAGCGTAGCACGCTACGTTACGCTATGCTATGCTATACTATACTATACTATAGTGTACGATTCGATACGATGCTCAGTACATGTTACAACTTAAAACAATCATGGAGAAAGAACAAGGTGTGACAGGAGAAAGGAACAGAACAGATTATAAACTTGGCTTGGAATCAAAATAACACAGGCAGGCAAAATGGCAAAAGACCTGGTGTTTTAGTACAGAAAAGTCCGAAAAGCAACGTCCAGCAACTGGGAAAGCAAAGGAGAAGAAGAAAAAAGAAGAAGAAGAAGAAGAAGAAGAAGAAGAAGAAGAAGAAGAAGAAGAAGAAAAAGAAGAAGAAGAAGAAGAAGAAGAAGAAGAACAACAACAACAACAACAACAACAACAACAACACCAGCAACAACAACAACAACAACAACAACAACAACAACAACAACAGCAACAACAATATTACGACCACCACCAATAACAACAACAAAACCAAAACCAAAAACAACAACAACAACAACAACAACAACAACAACAGCAGCAGCAACAACAACAAAAGCAGCAAGATGAAACGGACGAAAAAGACAAAACTACAAAGCAAAACAATCCAAGACGAAGTAACGACGGCGACAGGCCGGGCGAACTGCTAGACAAACTGCTAGGTGTCTCAAACTCACAGCAAGGTACTCGTTCTCGTAGAAGCATCCACACTGCTCCTGCTCCAAGCACTTGTCGTCCTCCATGAGCATGCCCCCGGGACAGAAGCAGCCCTCTGCGCACACGTCTCCCACCAGTGTGTCGTTCACGGCCACGTTCGAGTTCAGGCAGGTCGCTGGGTTCACGGGCCCGCACGTCTTGTACACCATGTTGTTTTCACATACCGGTTCTGTGTGGGGGGGGGGGGGGGGGGTTTTAAAAAAAGGGGGGTTTTTATATTTAGATTTTTAAAAAATTTTTTTTTTTTTTTCCACACGAGATATTTCGATTTGAGAGAGCCAGAGAGAGAGGAAGAGCACAGGAGGAGAGAAGGAGCAAGGATACAAAAGGAAGACGAGGCAAGGAAGAAGGGTGGGAAGAAAGAGAGAGACTCCCTCCCCCCCCCTTTTGTGCGACAGCAAAATGCCTATAATTCACGCCATAGACGCCGGTAACAGTTATCTGGTTCCCAGCCAATATTAACTTGTAAAACAGGCTCTTAGCTAAGACATCCTGCCTTGTCAGCATTTTTCCTTTTTAATGAATTAAACCACAAGGTCTTATTTTCGTTTGCACTCGGCTGCAATCCCCTTCAACCAATCAGCACATTCTAATCAATGCACGCAATCTTGTTCCACCAATCATCACTTTCTTTTACATACACAGAATCATCTCTCTCTCTCTCCCCCCCCCCCTCTCTCTCTCTCTCTCTCTCTCTCTCTCTCTCTCTCTCTCTCTCTCTCTCTCTCTCTCTCTCTCTCTCTCGTCCTCTTTATCTTATAAAATGACTTTCACCTTCCCCCTCACCCTCACTCTCTTTCTTATCTAGTCATCGTCATTGTCATCAAGTTGTGGCGTCAGTGGCCTAGTGGTTAAGCTAACGGACTCGTTATCGTGAGGTTGCGGGTTCGGGGTTTCAAACCGCGGGCCCGGTGTTACGTCCTTGGGAAAGACACTTTACACGAATTTCCACACTTCACCCAGGTGGGAATGGGTACCCAGCTATAGACAGTGAAAGATCTTGTCAGTTTGTTAGTGTTTGAGCGCTTAACCGGCTGCTTGCACTGTATGCTTCCAGGGAAGATGAGAATGTTTCTGAGTGTTCTATGGTCTGCTGGGGTAGTAATAATATAGTGTAAAGCGCATAGAGCTTGCTTTCGAGTGGGGACATGCGCTATACAAATGCTATTTATTATTATTATTATTATTATTATTATTATTATTATTATTATTATTATTATTATTATTATCATTACAGCCTGCATTCATCTTCTTATTCACACCCACCCCACCTCTCCTTTTTTCTCTCCCTTCCCCCTTTTTTGCCGTGGCACCTTCTCTTTATCCCACTGATCAATAAACGTACCTTCACAGGCATCGACATCCTGCCTCCATCCATCAATCTTCACGTTTTCTGACAAAGCACATTTGTCAAAGATGACCTTGGCAAACTCGCACATTTGGGCACTCAAGTCGTCTTCGGTCAAACAGCCATCCATAACACAGGAGAACCGGAGCTGTTCTAAGGTTTCTTGTGGGAGTATAGAGAGACAGTCCTGGGGAAAAGAGTTGATGTCAATGGTTACTTTTCTTCGTCTTTTTTTTTTTGGGGGGGGGAGGGCTATTGACAATGACGGGGGTGGTGTCAGTGGGGGGTTAGGAGCTTGGCCGTGCGTAAGTGTATGTGTGTGTGTATGTGTATGTGTGTGTGTGTGTGTGTGTGTGTGTGTGTGTGTGTGTGTGTGTGTGTGTGTGCACCCGTGCGCGCGTGTATGTCGTGAACTTGGGTGAGTATGTATTGGTGTGAGTGTCTATTTGGGTGTGGGGTCTAAAGATCTAAGTTAAAACAAGTCTTAAATCTCCTTCTCCTTCTACTCCTCCTC